GATTTACAGCATAAGCATTAGGATAAAAGAGGATTGCACCTGGTAGCCATTTTAAGCTGGGCCGACTTGGGAGTTGAGGTTACTTTTTACAGTCAAATCGGCTCAGGGTTGATTCACATACAAGACTTTCGAGTGAGCAGTCGGGTGTCTAGCCACCCCGCTATCGCAGCTTCTTTTAAGTAAAAAAGTAAAGATCCCTTTTCACGCCTTTCGGCGCATCGGGCATATGGGCAGAGCGTCCCATATTTTTACAGACCATCAGCACTCTGTGGGTAATGTGGTCAGCATTACGCCGGCTGTCTTTACTTTTCCAGGACAGCCCATCCTTGTACCCATTTTAGGCTGGGTCGACCTGCGAATATCTTTTAAGTAGTAGACTAGATTAGCAGTTCTAGAAAAGCACCCCAGAAAATTTGCTGGGGGACTAACTCATACTCCCCTAGCTCCACCTCAACTGTGTACAACTATGGAATACAGACATATCAAACCAAGCTCTATCGACCGCTATTACTATGCACAATTTTACTTTAAATTGATTTCATAGTACTTTAATTTTATATGACCACATGTCATCGGCCTCGAAATTTTTAGGGTAATCCTCAGAACGTTCCATAGTAGGGGGGGGGGGGGGGGTTAGGGTCAGACTTAGTAGTAGTCGCTATTCATTTAACACTAACCCTAACCCCCCCCCCCCCCCCCCCCCCAAAAAAAAAAAAAAAAAAAAAAAACTATGGATTGTTCTGAGGATTTCCCTACCAAATCTCGAAGCCGATGAGATGTGGTCGTATAAAATTAAAGTACCGATTTCATTAACAGGTTAATCAGACGAGAGGACAGACCTCGCAAACGATCTTCACTGAATGGCTCCAACAACTTTGCCCCCAGTCACAGTAGTAACACCTGCAGCATCAAAAGGAAACCCAGTGTGCGGTGTACACGCGTCTGTCATTTGGGAGTCAATGAAAGTGTGGGTAAGTCTGTCATTTGGGAGTCAATGAAAGTGTGGGTAAGTCTGTCATTTGGGAGTCAATGAAAGTGTAGGTAAGTCTGTCATTTGGGAGTCAATGAAAGTGTGAGTAAGTCTGTCATTTGGGAGTCAATGAAAGTGTAGGTAAGTCTGTCATTTGGGAGTCAATGAAAGTGTGGGTAAGTCTGTCATTTGGGAGTCAATGAAAGTGTGGGTAAGTCTGTCATTTGGAAGTCAATGAAAGTGTGGGTAAGTCTGTCATTTGGGAGTCAATGAAAGTGTGGGTAAGTCTGTCATTTGGGAGTCAATGAAAGTGTAGGTAAGTCTGTCATTTGGGAGTCAATGAAAGTGTGGGTAAGTCTATCATTTAGGAGTCAATGAAAGTGTGGGTAAGCACTTTTTTTTTAAAAACTAAGTTTTATCCCTCCAAATTTTGCGGTCTATAGGATTAACATCTCAAGGATGAGAATCATACAGGTACAAATCCTGGAAAACCACAAAGTAGTTACAAAAGAGCTTGTAGTCCAGCGTGGGTAGAGGTAAATGGGGTTGAACTTCACTAACTCACAAGGTTAAAAGGGTCGCAAATCGAGATGGTCGGTCTCAGTGCATTAAGTTTAATCCCACAACCCCTGTTTCTCTTAGCAAAGCGACTTATCGCCCGTGGAGAACCTAATAAAAGGCATGAATATCTAAACGCCAGTAACGACTCTTGGTCACTCTGAAATAATGATAATTCTTAAACAAATGATGTGGCTGGTGAATGAACCAGTGACCTGCCAAGAATGAGATAAAAAGTTTGGCCACTTTGCCAAGAAGAACTCTGTCTTACTTCACCACGGATACATCCATCTTACCTGTTCCTTTACCACGCCTGGTAACTTCTCTCCAGCCTTTTACTTCCACTGATCAGGTTTCGACCAACACGAAGATGGACACAGGATATTAGTGACTCCTTGAGTATGAAAATACATGAGGCGGGAGAGCTGGCGAGAGACCGAGTTTCTTTCAGGAAGACTGTGATGAGAGCGACGTTCTGCAAAGGACCTGCTACATGATGATGATGATGAGGTTTCACTTGTTCACATCCTCACTCCTCTGTAATAATTATGTTGTCTTTATTTCTGTTCAGTAAGCAGTATAGAGCGGTCCAAGTAAATATTACGTAGTTCATTTGTGTTTGTATGTACTGTGTTTTTTTTTTTTTTTTGTTCTGCTGGTGAAGGCTAGTCTGGAACCTTTACTATCCCCCTGTGGGTTCCAGGATCCCATTTTGGGGGAAAGAAGAGTGGACCCACTGCCTTCCCAACAAGCATGTGGTAGGAGTCGACTAAATTGGGGCATCCTTCGAAGTCCGGGTGCGTCTGCCTGAGAAGTAAGGAACCAGCAGTCTGCATACAAATTAGCCAGATCTGTAAAATGGATTTGCACGCAACACTCTTGTTCTTTAACAAGACTAACATCCGGAGGTGGACGGATCACTAGAATTTTCCGTTGATGAATGCAATGAAGAAGAGGAAGCAGAAGAAAAAGAAGAAGAACCCTTACCACATTTCTAGTTACACCCCTGATTTGACCGTACCACCCTTGGCCTCACAGGAGACGTAGAGCTGACAATGGAGCTGCCCACTTACATGCAGACGGCTGTGTGTAAAGAGACCACTTCGGTGCTCGTCCTGGAGAACAAACATTACGAGAGACTCTTCACCAGAAGACACCCGAAAACCATCGAGAGTATGAGAGATCAGATAGCGGTCAAACTGGCTTCAAGGATAGCAATGCTCAACACGAAATACGAGATTCCGTTTTTACAGTAAGTTGGGGGGCTGCTTTAAACCGTTGTCATTGTGTGAGCTTTTATTGGCTATGCGTCTTTCTCTCCAGCTGTCTCTCTCTCTCTGTCTCTCTCTCTCTCTGTCTCTCTCTCTCTCTCTCTCTCTAACTCCCCTCCCTTTCTCTGACTCTTTTTCCCATTTTTCAAGTGTCACCTCTCTGTCTGTCTGTATTCTGTAGCCTACTGTTTAATTCGCCTCAGCCGGCATTCTCTCTCTCTCTCTCTCTCTCTCTCTCTCTCTCTCTCTCTCTCTCTCTCTCTATATATATATATATATATATATATATATATATATATATATATATATATATATATATATATATATATGTATATATATATATATATATATATATATATATATATATATATATATATATATATATATATATATATATATATATTTACACACACACACACACATATATATATATATGAATTTTTCTCTAGCCACTTTTTCTCCCCTCTTGTTATCTCTCTCTCTCTCTCTCTCTCTCTCTCTCTCTCTTTAAATTTGTCCAACTATTATGTCTCTTTCCTTTCTCTTTTTCTCTCCTTATCTCTTTATCATTTCATCTATCATATAGTTATACCCCCTCCCCATTTCTACTTCTCCTATTATTGTTGTTGTTGTTGCTTGTAATATTAATTTATTGCACAGTCAAGGTTCCATCCAAATGTTTTACCCCTGTGAGTTCTGGGGCCCCGTTTGGGTGGGGGTGAGGAGAGAATAGACCCACTGCCACCTTAACAAGTGTGTCTCGACTAATTAGGGGTGTTTCCTTCTAACTGAGAGTACATGTGCCTGAGAGGTGAGGAACCAATATCCTGCTTACAACCAAGATCTGTAAAATGGATGTGCACGCAGAACTCCAGTTTTGGAACCAAATTAAAGTCCAGAGGTGGATTAAAAAACCAGAACTTTCCACAGGAGTTTACAGCTGGTGAACGCAAAGAAGAAGAAGATCCATATGTTTTGAAACTGGCTAAAAATAATACTCAGTATACAATCTTGTACTTTCCAGCTGCCTGAAAAGGATCATAGATAGCAGACACAAACCCCAGACACAAACAGACAAGGACAAGCAGGAACACACTGTTTTCGAAGCAGAGAAGGAGTTTTTGAATCACAGGGTACGTTATAGGTAGTAGTAGTGGCAGCATGGGGTCTCCGTAGCAAAGTGGTCCAGCCATTCGCCTCACGCTCTGAGAGTCATGGGTTCGTTTCACAGCGTCGACGTTCAGTTCACGCATGCAATTTTTACGTAGATTCCTGGGGAATTCGAGCTGTGCAATGCTGTTGGCAGACGGAGAGAGACCAAGCTATGTGGGATAAGACCCACAAGGAAGTCGATTCTCTTGACTTTAACCTTTAAGTAGCAGCAGTAGCGGTACTGGTCATAGAGGCTGGAACCTGTTGGTTCAGATCCTCCTAGCGTAAGCTGTTTGTTAGTTAAATGTGGCTTATTAAAAGCGGTATTCATGTTGGACTAGTTTGTTTGTCTGGGCGGCCTTTTGCGTTCGATGTTTTTAAAACATTAATTCAGCAACTTCTCATGATTTGACATGACTTACAAAAAGCGATACCAACCTACCTTAATGATACAGCCATAGCTGCATCTAGCTTAACTTAGGCTGTGCTTCCTGTTGAATGTATTCTTATCAGGAAAGACACAGTTTGTTTCCTGGCTGTTTACGGTCAGGAAGACATTATGGGTCTTGACCCCTTTTTTTTTTAGTCGAACGGGCCCTTCGCATGAGTTGCTTAAGACCGTCAAACAACATTCGTCGAAATTATGAAGGAAAATAATTTTGTGTGGGTCACCACAACATAAGGGTCACGGCATTAGGAATGTTGAGAGCCACTGCTCTATGGGAGGGGGTGTGTTGGGAAAGGGGGGGGGGGTGGTGAAAAATTGTTTATATAGCCATAGTAACCTATGGCCTTTGCTCTCTTGAGCGCCCCCCCCCCTAAATTTTTGTAATGGCTATAGTAGCAGTAGCAGCAGTTAATGGTTGCTTTCGACAGAAAGAGCTAAAATTAGAATACATGCTGCTTTCCAGAAAAAAAATTTGGGGATGGGGGGCTTCTTCTTCTTCCTCTGTTTCTTCTCCTCTCCTTCCATCTTTTTTTAAATTCTAGTATTATTATTCTGTATTATTTATCATTATTACTACTAGTCGTTATTTTATTTCTGCCAGGGGCCGCTGATAGACCAAGACGGTCCAGGGAGTGTGTTTTACCTCATCAGGTTGAGGGAGAAGAAAAAGCGAGTTCAGGCTAAAAGAGGAGAACGTTTGGACAGGCATTTGTCTCTGGCGTCACAAAGGTGAACAATGAATGACAGAATGTAGGGGTGAATAAGTAACCAGTTCAGTGATTTGTGGCAGTTTCTGTCAATATTTGATGGGATGGGCAGATACAGATACTGTGAACAGATTAATCTGTCTGTAGTCTGTCTACCCAGTTGTTTGATCCGTCTGTCTCTCCATCCATCTGTCTATCCATCTGTCTATCTATCCGTCTGTCTATCTGTCTCTCTATCTGTCTGCCTGTATGCCTACCTGTCTGCCTGCCTACTTGCCTGTCTGTCTGTCTCTCTGTCTGCAGTATGTCTACCTGTCTGCCTGCCTACTTGCCTGTCTGTCTGTCCTGCCAACCATAAACCAACCAAAACTGCCAGACACTATTTAATTCACTACACATCCTCACACCCACCTACCTCCCTGTCTGTCTGTCTGTCTGTCTGTCCGTCTTTCTGCTAGCATAACAGACAATTTTTCTCTACCCATCAGCATATCAAAGAGTCTGGTCCTTCCACTGAACACACAACTGACCTCAGTGCTTGACCCCACCGCATCCCGCAGCCTGCCGTCTGCAGGGAAACATTCGGCAAGGTCACCAAGAGACAGCCTGACAGAGGAGCTTGGTGAAAGTCAAATCCACAACCATAACACCAAGGACGATCGAGTGACTGGAGAATGGCATGGGTGAGTAGATTGGTAGTTCTACCAAATTAAAAGTTAACAGAACGAGTATCCCATATTTGTTATACAACATCTCGATGTAGTAAAGTAAGAAAGTAAAGGGTTCGATTCTATGCTTTGTGACGTATTAAACATTTGGTGCTGTCCCATATTGTGTATGCTGAATTACTGCATGGTAAAAGATCTGAAATCAAGGAAGACTGGCTAAAAAAAAACATTATCTTGTCCCAGATGCTGAAACATTTTTGTCATATCAAGCAACTTTGAGGATTGGAACAAAAATAGCAGAAGGCATGGCACCAGGAAGGAGGGGCAGGGGTCGACCAACAAGAAGATGGGCACAGTATATAAGTGACTCCTAGTTTGAAAGTATATGAGGCGGGAGAGCTGATAAAAGACCTAGTTTCTTTCAGGCAGACTGCGATGAGAGCAATGTTCTGCAAAGGACCGGCTACTTGATGATGATGGCAACAAGAGGAAGACAGTAATCAGAAAGATTCTTTTTGTGTGTGTTTTGTTGTTGTTGTTTTGTTTAGGCACAGATTCTGAGAAAGAAACTCTTTAGATTTTACTCTTTTCTTTAGAAATTGAAATTAAAGAATGATTGACTGTTTTTCTCTCTGGGTTGCTACTTGAAGGTCTTATCACAACACCGAGCCTTCGAGAGTTGTACCGCGTATAGCAGATCAACAGATCAGATCTCAGATACCCCGTTTCAACCTTTAAAGACGTTATAATTAGGACACCCCTAAATGCAACACCTGGCTGGTGTAGTCTGCAGTTCTGAGCGAGCAAGCGTATAGTATTTTCTTCTTCTTCGCGCCCTCTTTTACTGCTGTCACGTGTCAGGTTCACTTGTCTAAGTGAATCCTCTGCTACAGAGAATCAAAGAGTATAATTCTCCCTCTGCACACGGACATTGAAAATACTGCTGCTGTGACTAACTGACTTTCTACCCCACTAGGACATCACACAAGCGATAAACACCCGATGACACCAAGTGCCACTATGTGGATGAGGATCGCCGTGGAGAGGTCCCAGAAACCGCGTTCAGACAATTGGCCATATTTATGGCCTGCCTATATTGCGGCCCTTGGCAAAAGCCAGGGTGTGGCTTCAAATAACAAAAAATTTCGTCCTAAAAAAGACGTAAGGATAATATCACTGCTGCTGTGAAGGTGACTTCACAAGTAACAGCCAAAGAGGCTTATAAAGACAGACCTCCCAAACAAACAATATAGCCAGCAGGCCAGTCTGAGAATTTTCCACTCAAATATTATACCTCCCAGCCTAAATGGTTAAAGGAGAAGGGTTCGGTGTCTACTGACAAAAGGTCCCCTGGGGTATAAAGTTTAGATATATTATCTTAAACTACTGGCTTTATTCATTGACAAAAACATTTAATGTATATTAAATTGACTCCAGAATTAGTAATTAAGTTACTCAGTAATATTCTAATAAAAATAAAAAAAAATTACCTGAACAGCCATTAAAATGTTGAATGTTGAATTAGGAATCGACATCACAGCACTCGGAACACTCCCATTAGTGCTCAGTCCTCATCTTCAGCAGCAAGCGAAGAGTTCCAATTCCGATGGTACCAGTAACCGTCTGATTGTATATCTGTCTCATCCTTCTCTTGAGTGTTGAGCGACGGCCAGACCCCCTGGTAACTCCTCGCAGCGCCATTCTCCTCAGACCTCAATGATTTATCTGTGCCTCCTCACTGTTTATCTATTCCCAAAGGGCCCTCAACCATTAAAATAAACATAAAATCTTCGAACTGCTCGGGGGAGGTTTTCTTTTCGAATGGCTGGACACGCCACTTAGCTGATGTCCTAGTTTCCTCAGACTGCCTGATCAGCCACCACTGACCCACACATACAGGATGTTGACTTTTCAAGATCAGGCTTGACATCTAAGACATCCACCTTATATGCAACTTAGCTGATGTCCTAGTTTCCTCAGACTGGCAGATCAGCCACCACTGATCCACACATACAGGATGTTGACTCTTTAAGATCAGGCTTGACAATCAAGACATCCACCTGAAAACGAAGAAATGGGACACACCTGTAGATGGCTGTACCCTACTGAGGCTAGTCCTCATAATGTATTTCACTGCATACACCCATACATAACATGGGGTAGCAGTGATGGTCATAAAGATTCCAATTCTATCATGCTTCCAAAAGAATACTGATTTAAGCAGTTCCTTTGCTTCTGAGGGGAAACAACTTATCCATGTCTCGCAGACAGGGGCTTTTCACTTTTTTTTTTAGTTGTCTTATTCTGTTCTTTAGTATATGTCTTCTCTCTTTAGTTCCTTCATCATAAATAATTTGATCCCTGTGCTTGCCTCAGATTAATGCAAATGACTGTATAATTTTATTACCTGTTTCTTGTTGTATGCTAAACAAAGTTTTCTTGGCACAATATTCATTGTCAGTTCTCAGGTTGACTGTAATTGCACATTGAATGCCTGATTTACATGTGGGGAGAGTCATGTTTTCTTGTTAATTGTACATTTAGATACTGCCCATAACATTGAAATCATCATTTAGTCTATTGTTTAGTTGTCCAAGTGTGTATGTGTACAATAGGCACGGGAACCGGCAAACTCAGGCACCTTGAGCACCTCCCCCCACCCCTCCCATCTCCATAGAAAATTTCGTCTGGCTAAGTGCCCCACCCCCTCCCTTAACTATGTATAGAAGTTCTCTGTTTAAGTGTTTGTTTTTAGGTTTTTCATATTACTCCAGATATAACAATGTATTGATTTGTCATTCGGCACATAATATTAACCATAATAATTAATAATTTTTGTGCGTTTTAACAAGGCATAATCCTTTTGCATTGCTTCGTCACCTAGAAAAGTACAAGAGGTTTAGGCCCCTGTCAGCCTATGATTTATCTGAGGTGGCGCCCCCTGGTATACATAACTGTATTCTGTAATCCACAGCCCCATGTCCGGATTGCATCAAGGTTTCGACATTACGGAGACACAGAACGTGGAGCTGCGATCGCTAGAGGACAGGATGAGGCAGTGGTTGGAAGTGGACAACCCTAAAGGAAAACCTCAAATAGCACAACTGAGGAGACTACAGGTATGCATGTCTGTCTGCCAAGCTGTCTGCCGTCTGAAGGTTCGACTAAACTTGTGACTTACAGAGTCCCATCCTTGATGCCAATCCATCATGGCACATCCTATATGTTCCGTTAAACCAGGGCTATTCAGCTAAGTTTACTCTGTGGCCAAAATGTTGAAAATGATGATCATCAAGTGCCAAAAAGCTCCTGCATAGATAGATCATTAATGTTGCTAAGGTTGTTCCATTCAGACTGCTTAATTACTTGATAAATTGGGGAGTCAGGGAGGGTTTGCACATCAGAGAGAGGGGAAGGGGGAGTCAGAGATCAAGAGAGAGAAAAGGTATAGAGGTCAAACAAAGGTTAGTCTCCCCACGGAAAGTAGGTCACGCTCCATTGATAGCTTTCTTGGACTGGTCTTACCTGCTGGGGGTTACGGGTATGCCGCTCTGTTGTTTGCTATCTGTGTTGTCTTGCATTTACGTTTTTATTCCAAGAAAGAGAATGTCTGTGACATAGGTTGCAGCTTCCTCTAGGGGGGGGGGGGTTGTGTGTTAGACCCAGTATGTAGATTTTGTGGAACACTCCCGTCACCTTGAGTGAAGGTCGGGTGGCTCAAGGAGGACCAATCAGAAGTGAGCTAGGCTAAGGTCGACCAATCAGAAGTAAGGTAGTGTGTAGCACTGTGTGAATGGGGGGGGGGGAGGGGGGACTATCTTTACTTTTACCTAAAGAGATACTGGGAGAGAAACATGAAAGAAGCGAGACTAGGATAGAGAAGAGGGAAGGTGAATAAGACTCACCAGTTTGACTCACCAGTCTGCATTAAAATTGTCATGGTGTTTGTCCGTCACAAACTGTAGAGTGTAACCACTGCTTACATCAACAATAAACTGTATTTTTAGCCTTGTACTGTTTGTGTTTGTGTTAGTCGACCCAGATAATACAAAAAATGAGGAACTTTACTTTCCAGAGGAAGAATTAGATCCACACACAATAAATGAGCTACTATTTGCAGACGATCATTGCCTGTTATACAGTGAGGGAGTAGACTGCAAGACCAGTTGAACAGGCTAAGTTCAGTAAGCAGAAGATATAACATGAAAATAAATACTACTAAACAGAAGTAATGCAGATCAGCAGATTTCCTAGTCCCCTACCTATCGGGTTCAATGGTACTTGTCTGAAGCAAGTTAAAGAATTCAAATATTTAGCAAGTATATTCTCGGAGGACAGAAGAATAGATTGGGAAATAAAAACGAGATGCCAACGAGCCAGTGCACTTATATACCAACTGACACTGTTATTAAGACATCCAAACATAAGTATGAGCGCCAAAAAGGGTATTATTAACAGCATATTAATACCAGCACTGTGCTACCAGTGCCAGACTTGGACATTATCAAATGCTAAACTACATAAAGTTAACACCTGTGAAATAAGATGCCTGAGAAAAGCCGCCAACTTAACCATCCGAGACAAGGTTAGAAATGATATAATCAGACAGACTGTAGGAAAAACACCACACAGCAAATTCATTGAGAAACAGAAGGTCAAATGGTTTGGTCATTTAGAAAGAATGCAGCCAGAACAACTACCAACACAGGCGCTACACGTGAAAGGATCTGAAGTGAAAGCAAGAGGTCGTCCTAGGAGAAGATGGATTGATGAAATTAAAGAGCTTTAAAATCGACACAGAATGACAGTAGTCATTGCTGCCCATCAGGCAATGGATCGCAAACTTTTCCTCCCCACAACCCTTAACGACAGGAGTGGAAATTTATGATGATGATGACGACTGTTTGTGTTAGCACTTCTGACTGCTGCCTTGTGTATATAGTGCATGTGTATGCTATAGGGCAGTGTTTCCCAAACTTGGTTGCAGTGCCTTTTTTCAGTTACACATTTTTCCAGGGCGCCCTAACCTAAGTAAAAGTATGGCCCCTAACCTAAGTAAAAGTATGGCTATTCGTGTCTTGGTTAAATTAATTAAAAAGCTTTTACAATATTTCGAGGCGCCCCTGTGAAGAGGTCGCGGCTCCCCGGGGCGCACAGTTTGGGAATCACTGCTATAAGGTAAGCTGAGACTACAGTTGATTTTTCATATTGGCAGTGATGGACGTTCTTCGTGGTTGACGCAGGCACAGGAACGGAGCAACTATGAAGTGTGAAGTGACCCGTTTGCTGTTTGGAAACAGCAATCATCTGAAACTATGTTGTACAGACCGCTAAACAAGCAGCATTAGAAAATCTACCTTCAAATCTGTCTTTGAATCTCACCTTGAGAAAAGTTTATAATTGTAAAACTAGAGTAAGCTTTCACTGGAACCGACAAGATAAGAGAGATAATGGATGGAGAAGTGCAAACACAGGGGGAACCGAATTAGACCCAGAGATAATTAATGAGTTCATAGCTCTCTAAGTCTGGCAGCTCATTGCCAGCAGTTTTATGTCTTGGATGTTCTTGGATGTTTACTAGACCCTTATTAGGTTGAGCCTTCCCTGATGATGGTTCTACGCAGGGTGTGGCTTGAGCTGCTGTAGATAGTAGAAGAGATGATGTCTTGGCCTGTTCGTTGAAGCTCCAGTAAAGAATAAAATGCTGGGATGAAAGAAACAAATAGCATTCCAATGAAACAAATATTGGGCAGCACCATTTACCTAGTAAATTCCAATGCATGGAAAAAAAGTCTAACTTACCTAGTAAACTCCAATATGTTGAAAAAAGTCTAACTTACCTAGTGAACTCCAATATGTTGAAAAAAGTCTAACTTACCTAGTGAACTCCAATATGTTGAAAAAAGTCTAACTTACCTAGTGAACTCCAATATGTTGAAAAAAGTCTAACTTACATAGTGAACTCCAATATGTTGAAAAAAAAGTCTAACTTACCTAGTAAACTCCAATATGTTGAAAAAAGTCTAACTTACCTAGTGAACTCCAATATGTTGAAAAAAGTCTAACTTACCTAGTGAACTCCAATATGTTGAAAAAAGTCTAACTTACCTAGTGAGCTCCAATATGTTGAAAAAAAGTCTAACTTACCTAGTGAACTCCAATATGTTGAAAAAAGTCTAACTTACCTAGTGAACTCCAATATGTTGAAAAAAGTCTAACTTACCTAGTGAACTCCAATATGTTGAAAAAAAGTCTAACTTACCTAGTGAACTCCAATATGTTGAAAAAAGTCTAACTTACCTAGTGAACTCCAATATGTTGAAAAAAAGTCTAACTTACCTAGTGAACTCCAATATGTTGAAAAAAGTCTAACTTACCTAGTGAACTCCAATATGTTGAAAAAAAGTCTAACTTACCTAGTGAACTCCAATATGTTGAAAAAAGTCTAACTTACCTAGTGAACTCCAATATGTTGAAAAAAGTCTAACTTACCTAGTGAACTCCAATATGTTGAAAAAAGTCTAACTTACCTAGTGAACTCCAATATGTTGAAAAAAGTCTAACTTACCTAGTGAACTCCAATATGTTGAAAAAAAGTCTAACTTACCCAGTAAACTCCAATATGTTGAAAAAAGTCAACTTACCTAGTGAACTCCAATTTGTTGAAAAAAAGTCTAACTTACCCAATAAACTCCAATATGTTGAAAACAGTTTAACTTACCTAGTAAACTCCAATATGTTGAAAACAGTTTAACTTACCTAGTAAACTCCAATATGTTGAAAACAGTTTAACTTACCTAGTAAACTCCAATATGTTGAAAAAAAGCCTAACTTACCCAGTAAACTCCAATATGTTGAAAACAGTTTAACTTACCTAGTAAACTCCATTATGTTGAAAACAGTTTAACTTACCTAGTAAACTCCAATATGTTGAAAAAAGTTTAACTTACCTAGTGAACTCCAATATGTTGAAAAAAGTATAACTTACCCAGTGAACTCCAATACGCTGAAAAAAAAGTATAACTTACCTACTAAACTCCAATATGTTAAAAAAAAGTACAACTTATCTTGTAAACTCCAATAAGTTAAAACAAGGATAAATTACCTTCTTTTTCTGTTGTTGCAGGACTTAGAAATGCAACCCAGGCCGGGTAACAGAGTGGTCGTGAGAAGAAAAATAAGGCGGCGACAGGAAGATATCCACTTGTCGCCACCGACTTCATCAATGGAATTAGATTCAGAAATTACAGAAGAGGCTCGGCTTGCTGCGTACAAGATTTTATTAACATACTAATGACGCTGGGTGTGACCATTCATTAACAATGCTAAGAGCCAGCAATTTGTTGGTTTAACAGTCGGTCTTCTGAATGATTTAGTGTCTGATAACCAGTCATCTCTGTGATTTATTAGTCTGATGGTCAGTCACCTGCATTGATTTCTTGGTCTAAGAGTCATTCACCTCTGTGATTTATTGGTCTATCAGCTGAGTAATTTATAGGTCTAAGAGCAGTTAGTCACCTGATCACCTGAGTAATTTATTGGTCTAAGAGTCAGTCACCTGAGTAATTTATTGGTATAGTGTACACGTGTCGTAATTATGACTCTGAAAGCATGTTTAGAAAGGTGAAGACAGGAATGCTTTGATCAGAGTGGCAAGCTTCACTGGAAAGGTCACGGGTAGTGAGCATACTTTGGATCTTTTTTCCAGGCAATGCCAACGTCGTGGGTAATGAACAGGCAGACAGATTGGCTGGATCTGCACCACTGGGTGGTGAATTGATACATGACAAGGCAGATGTGGTCAAGGCCCTTTGGGAACAAGCAACGGAATAATTAGAGAAGTAAGATTATTATGACCTGAAGAGAATGAGGCACCTGGGGGGTGTAACCAGAGGGTTTGGCCGGCTCACTACACTTAAAGGAAAGGCAAGACGAATATATAAATAGATTGATACCGGCACCATTAGTATGAGGACGGAGCAATCATGCCAATGCCCCGAATGCCACGATGTCAATTCTTGACTCAACTCAACTGGTCTAAGTGTCAGTCACCTGAGTAATTTATTGTTCTAAGAATCAGTCACATTCTTTGAGAGTTATCTTGTTATCATCTTTCGATTTTTTCAAAGCTAGCCCACACAGGCTATCTGTGAATTAGTATAACTAAATCATTCTTCGGCAGCAGCATAAGTATGTTCTGTCATTAGTGTGTCATTAGTCGAGATTCTTGCAAACAGGTTTGAAATTTGAACAACGGATCAACATAGAAAACGAATAGTAATCCATAAGTGCTCTGTTCTTCTTCTAACTCAAGACTGAGTCCAAGAAGCTCAACACAGTGCACAGGCTCTGTAGCACCGGCGAGGATCCTGAAATACTTTGGGTAGATTTTTAACTCAAAATTTTGCCCAAGCAGCGCTGTTAGGCTACTTTTTTTCAATTTTCATCTGCCAAGGGATTTTTTACGTGCGCAACAGTGCACACGGGCGTCCGACCTCACTACCCAGAGACCAGAGGGAATTACTAGAAGTCCAAGTCCACGTAAAAAAATGCCAGCCCCTATGTGGGATTAAACCTGGAACCTCAAGCACTCGAGGTGGACACCATGCCTCAAGACCACGCAGCACCCTATTCAAACAAGTTGTCCCATAACTGGTTCATTCCTGTGCCAGTAAAAATCACACAAAATGACCTTCACTGTCCCATTTTAAAACATGTCAGTCCCAGCAAAAGCTTGAAGCTTGTGCACTGAAATAAATTTATCAGGCAGCCATCAGATATGCCAACACTAACAGTCCCATACCCGCCAGACTTGCAGCTCCTGGTGATCACAACCGCCGGCATTGTGTATGCAGTAATGCATAAGTACACACTGTTCCAAACACAGTCAGCCGCCCACCATTTTTAATGCTGTTCACAAGCCGTCATGGGCACAAGAAAAGAACAAAAAACAACATTTCATATGAAATCCACAACTCATGGTGTCACACCATGACTGGGAGACGGAACCTTTGGACTTGTGGTCCAGAAATGGGGAATTTTCATCAGCAAACACTGGATAGAAACAACTTTTTGAAGAATCAATGGCTAGCCGGTTATCCTCCATTTTGGACAAGAAGCCCCATCTAGAACAATAAATCAACCAGACTGCAGGCATGGAGTCTGTAAGGAGGCAGCCTCTCCACTATGCAAAGGTACAACAGGCCAAACACCTGTAAGTCTAAAACTACGATTATAAGTTATCATAGGGACCTCTAAACCCCAGGGTAGATGAGGCTCGACGAAGATAGAAAGTCCAGCTGTTTGTTTTCAATGTAAAAATGTCTATGTTTGATAAAGCTGCTCATGACAACAGACAAATCCATGTGTGTGTGTCTCTGTAGCTATGCTGTTTGACTGACGCTCTGAAGTTTCTAGTTCATTTAAGACTTCATAGTTAGATTCACAAATGCAGATTCGTTGGGGATCGTCACTGGAGCTTTTAGGTTCGTGCAATGTGGGATGCTTTTGGCAGATGGCTGTCTGCTCTGAGGTAAATTATTTCAAGCCATATGGGATAAAATCTGGTGGACAGTTGTCAATCCTATCAACTTTTTTAGAGGACGTTGAAAATAAGGAAAAAAATAATAATCCAGACCAGATGTAGAACAAGCTAGAAATGTCCCAAGGAAGGTGGGATGAACAGGTGAGGTGAGAGTTTAGGTGACGGGTGTAACCGAACATTTTTAAAGTAGAACTGTATTGGTCGTTAAAACCTTTAGGAGAGATAGAGCCCAATGTAGAGATAAGACGACTCTCAAGAGCTTTGCACTTGTTCAGAGGAATGGCTAGACCTAATGGTTGAGGTCTCTGTTTCGAAAACCAAACATTTTAAAATAAAACTATGTTGGTCGTTAATGCCTTTAGGAGAGATAGAACCCAATAAAGAGATACGATAATTCTCAAGAGTTTTGCACTCATCAAGAGGAATGGCTAGACCTAATGGTTGAGGCCTCCATGTCGCAAACATCTCAGTGACTCGTTTCTAAATATATAATGTATATGTTGCTGTTGTTTCATAAATGTTTACTTTTGTGCACTATCAAGGAACTCACAACTTTCCAGAACTATATAAATGATTTCTTCTTGTCATGGATAAATTTAGTCTTCGCCCTGAATGTGGTGGATTTGTGTGGTGGTACATGCACGTGAGGGAGTCGCCGTAGTGTAGCGGCTAGACGCTCGGTGAGGATCGGAAGGTCGGGGATTTGCTCCCTGAGGAGCCGGACTTTAAAAAAAATGACCTGGACTCCCAGGTCGACCCAGCCTTGAGTGGGTAGCAGGTGCAGTCCCTGAAAGTAAAGGCGGTCAACGTGATGCTGACCACATCATCCATCTTGTGCCATTTGGTCCATAAAAATATAGGTCTAGTCAAATATGCCCAAAGGCGTAATCCAGACGTGGTCATATTCTGACTTTCTCTCTAATGCTGGTATTCGTAACCCTGTCTCTTGTGTTGTTAGTGACCTTGCGGAGACAGCGCATTTCACAAGAATTAGTTAGTAAGTTGGGTTATCATAATTGCACTCCGGACATGTCCATAGGTGCTCAGATCCTCCCCTCGGGATGAACCCCAACGTCCGATGGCTATTAGTACTAGTTCTATGTTGATTAACAAATCATCTGATGTGCGGCTCGTTTTTTGCTATGCCGATCTTAATTTCCAAGTCTGCCATTCTGGCGAATGATGTGTATATAATGCCCCTAAAGTCCTCTATCCTCCCCATTTCTCTAAGGGCATTAATAGTATCAGCATGATCGTCGGTAGTGATAGCGGCTCCAGCCAACTTATCAGCTCTTTCATTTCCATCAACGCCTATAACAAAAATAAAGGTGACTCCACGCACAGTGAACTTCTGTAATGATTCAAGCCATTGTCTTCGCACCAAACCTGCCTGAACCTTCCAGATCATACTCATTGAATCACTGAGTATACATACGCGGGTGTAGTTTTGTGTTTCGAGCCAGGCGGACATTTGTGTCACAGCCATCACCTCCATAGTCATGCTGCTGGTTGTCATGAAGAAGGCGCCGTTGGCTTCTTTGACTGTTCTTCCCGCTGAGCGTGCTGTGAATGCCCATGTGCTGCTTTTTTTTTTTTTTTTGGCGTATAACGGATCTGTCTGTGTAGATTAGTGCATCTGCTTCGTCTGAATTTTCACTGATGACAGCTTTGATCTCTGCATTAACAGCAACAGGATTCTCTTATCTACATCACCTGTTGAGTGTGGCAATACAGGAAAATGTACAAATAAACTCACGAGGCACAGGTATCAACTTTGCACCAGGGGTGATGTCAGTTAGGCTGCATATTTGCCTAAAAACATTTTCTGCTTGACCTAGCCATGATTTTCCCCTCTTCAGGTTGTCGCCCTTTTCACCAAAAAGCACTTGATGCAGTGGGTGTTTCTTATCAGGCTATATTTTGAGGTTTGCCCGAGCCCTCCAGATCCTGATCCTTTGGTTCATAGTTGGAAAGTCAAGTAGCTACCTCATTGCTCCACAGGATGTTTCTCTTCTACAGCCCAAAATAATGCTCATGGCTTCATTTTGCACCTTTTCAAGTCGTTCAGTTTGGGTGGCACTGACAGTGAGGATGGCCAGAGCGTATTCAATGGGGGAAAGGACCAGATCGTAGAATAGAAGTATTAGTAGTCTTTGCTCAATGTTGGAAGCAGCCATAATCCTCATTGCAGATAGACCTTTGCGTGCTTTTGTTATCACATGGTCAACGTGTTCCCTGAATGACAAGCTGCGATCAAACCTCACCCCGAGAAACGTCATAACGTTGGTTCTGATCAACACATTATCACGCATTTTCACTGCTAAGTCCGACTTGACAATGTGATTGTTCAAAGAGAACCTTGACACTGATGCCTTCGAAAGATTTACATAGGCATTGAAACCATCACACTAGGCGTCAATGCGATCGAGTTCTTCGTGCATTGTTGTGGCGATCTCCTGTCTATCACGCCCTCGTCGATAAATCAAAACATCATCAGCAAATGACAAAGTCCTTCCCTTTCCATTCAACTGCTGCTCAATGATCATCACAAGAATGCAAATAATATATAATATGATAGACTAGCGAATTATGCAGTCCAGGTAGTTAATTGCGTATCCTTTACAGGATGTTGCAGAACCAACCCTAGCAATTTTCGGCTGTTGTGGTTTTTCTAGGCAAGTTTACGTCCAGTAGTTTGCCATTGCTTTCTGGATGGTCGGTTTCTCTATATTACTGTCGAAACCAGCGCA